TTTCTGACACTTGGTGAGTTCCCTGGAACACCGGGGACACATATTCATGTATACAAGACGTACAAAAGTGCATTTTGCAGGATAGGTCACCTTTAACTAAAAGAGTTATGTCTATAAACAGGAAGAAACTGAATTGACATTTAAAGATTTTAAGTGAGATGATTAGGATTCCCTAAAATAAAGAACATAAAACAGTGTAATTTGTTGTGTACTAGGGGATTTTTCAAAATCATGTGTATTGTCTGTATACTTACCAATTACGTACATATCCATCACAAGTACTGAGCCACAGAGGAACACATTACAGTATATAAATTATAGAGATGTATTATTGTAAAATCAACACTATAATTTACAAACAGACTTAAAAGCTCATGCCTTACAGGTAATCCCACATTAGTTCAAATATGTAATCACACCAAGTCTGCCCTCAACCCTGCATTGGAGACATTGGATCTGACAACACAATGGCCGATATCCCTCCTCCTTCACGTGATCCATCTCTGTCATTATCGTGTTCTGGGATTTGACTGAGTAAAGGGTGTGGCAGAGCACCAGGATGCTTAAAACAAATGCTGGCCAGCAAGTAGAGATTCTTTATTACCTATATGTCTATTTAAATGGTTCAAAGTCTTGGGTGTATCTCCAGTGGAAAAAACGTCCTGCTTTTTTAAAGGGTGATGGACTAATCTGTGTCAGAATAAACCACAGTATAACATTTAGCAGGAGACTGGAGACAATGCGAGGCAACAAATAACAAGGAATATCCGAAAGAAAGAATAAAATCATTAGAATTGGTCTTGAACAGTTAATTTTCTCTTGATTTGTCTTTCGGAAAAATGCTATTTTAGTTTCCGAATGTTTGGAAGATATTTGGCTTGTGAATGATACTTCCAAAATGTACTTTGGTGACTATTGGCAGACATAATTGATCACAATCCAGTGTTTCCCCTATATGTTTTCAGCAGCGGCGCTGCTAGGGGGCGCAAGCCCCCAAGCAGATNACACACACACACACACACACACAACAGAAAGACATACACACACAGAAACTGATGAGAATATTTTGGCGGAAACAATGAAAGGACATACGAGTCTCTCAGCAAAGAGAAACATGTAAAAATGCACATTCAGATACATATAGAGAATCTGACAGCCACATACAGAAAGTGAAACATGCATGCACCAACTTAAAGTAATAAAACACAGACACTTGCACACACTTGTACACACAAACACATCCACTCTCACAACTCTGCCAGCCTCTGAGTGAGCTAGCTTAACTACTGGGATAATTTCCCTCCAGCAAATGGTCACTGTGCCCTTGAAAAACATATTTGATTATTACTTTTTCTCCCCCTCCTCTTTTTTTCTTTTAGCATCATCACAGCCATTTTCATCACGCGCTCTGATGATGGCACGGCAAGGCGCGTTAAGATAACACCCCAGCACCGCCAGGCTTTTAACACTTAAACGGTGAAAAGGGATATTCAGATTCGTCCTTGAACGTTTGGATGGGGCCTGCTGGGCTGGGACAGAGGGAGGGGAGTAAGGGAAGGAGTTAAAAGAAATGCATACATTTTGGAGATCCACTTAAAAAGTGAGGTGGGGTTGAAGGGCAGATGGAAGAGTTAAAAAACAGTACACTATGAAGACAAAGTGTGAGGGCAAATGATTAGTGGAGCGCACATAGGGAGGCAGGGGACTTTGGGAGAGTCAGGGAGCAACGGGAGGCCAAAGACACCACACACGATCCGTTAAACACCATCTAATCTTACCTAAGTCTTAGCTAAACATCTTACATACAAAACGCTGAGAGAGAAGAAAAGAAGAGCAAATGAGGAGCTTAAAAGTTGGTCTCGAACCTGCAACACAGGAGGAAATGCTGAAAGAAAACTAAGGCACTCCTGTCCAAAAACAAACACTATTTAATCTACTTGAAAGTGAAATGAAAGCTGTTTAAACAAACTGTCAGATTTGGAAGGGAGGGATTAAGCATGGATACTTTGTGTTATTTTATCACAACTAGAGAACGCTGAAGAAGGGATTATAGGAGACCATCTCAATAATACCCAAAAGACTAAAACTGGGCAGAATAGAAACAAGGCCCGCCATTTGAAATTCGTTATGTATTATAGTGTTTTATGACAAGGTGGGTTTAAAGGCACGTGTAGGTAGAAACTTTTTTACACAATTTATTGAGATGGCCTCCCAAGTTACGCTCAAACTGTAAATTGGAGGAAAATAGATTTGAAGCCCTTAAAATAGAAATTGTAAGCTATTAGTTGGTTGGTTTACATATTTAAACGGAAATATGTTCTGTCAGATGTGGATCAAGACCTATTGAGAGAAACCACTGTTTATAATTGGAGTAATGTGGACAGGAATTATATAAACTTAGTTAAACCCAACTAACTTTGTAAGAGGATCACTTTCACTGGGCTCAGCTTTGTGTTTGTTTCTTGTCTTTGGGACAGGTTGGATGATGTTTCAAACCCTGATTCTATTTCACCTAATTTATACTGCTTTCCTGTTTCAAATAGTGTGTGTCTGTGTGTGAGTGTGTTGATTCTTTTTTGTCTGAGTGTTCTTGAGGATTTCATTCAGTGTGCGTTCACATGCATGCTATGTGAGTGTGGCTGTGTTAGTGTGTGTGTACGTGTGCACATGTGCAGCCAAGCCGGTACGTGTATCTGTTGCCAGACGGCTGTCTCCCGGCATTGCTGTTCCCCTGCAGTGTGTGTGTATGGTTGTTGACAGTGTGGACGGTAATGTGTGATAGATCGCACTTCAGGGACCCCATAATCACATCAGCCTAACCTAGTCTATCAGCTGGGCACAATGGGATACCCTTCACTCCTCCTTTAATCTGCTCCATCTAGCTCTTCACCACTCTTCTGTTCTATCTGGTTTTTTTCTTTCACTTTCCCTGTCTTTCTGTTTTTTAAGTTTCCTTTATATGAAGAATATTTAGCTTTTTAAATCCTGTCTTTCTTTTCTCATCTTGTTTTTTAACATTTTCTGTTTAATTTTACATTTTTATTTATTTTAAATGTCTCTCATTGTTTGTATGAAATTGTACTTTCTTTGTGGTCATCACTATATTTCTTTCTGTCAGCTTTTTATTAAAACTTTATTTTTTGATATAAATTATAATTTATTTTTTGATATAAACTATCATTTATTTTTCGATATAAACTATAATTTATTTTTAACAAAACTGCATGAAATCTTCTCTAGCTTGCTTTTCTTTCTTTCTATTTTCTTGCTTGCACAAATCGGTCTTTCACTATATCATGAAACTACAAAACCCTTGAAAAAGTGAGAGGCAGCAATGGGAGTGAGTGATGCCAAGGTTAAGTAGCATATCCTATAATAGGTGTTGCTGTGTGTATTTTGTGTGTGTTAGTGTGTGTTAGTGTAGTGTCTTGAAACAGACGTGTGGGGTCGAGGTTGCATAGCCGGCCCCAAGGCTCCCCGACAGCGCAGTGCTCGGCGAAATGGCCCTTAGCCTTGCTAGCGCCGCTAGCCCTACGATCCATCATACCATATGTTCTCAATGGGGAAGCTAACGCTAATGACTGATGAGTGGATGGGAAGGGGGCACATAAAGAAAAGGAGGGGTGAAAGGGAAGGTGGTTGGGGGAGAAAGGGGGGGGCAAGAGGCCAGGGTAAAACATAGAGGAGATGGAGAAACAAGTTGATGAAAAGTAAGTAAGAAGATGACAAAGGAGCAGAGGAGATGGGAAATAAATAACAAAAGGAGATGGAGAGGAAGAGGGAGTGAGCATATGCACTCCTTGGGAGGCCACCTCAGATGAAGGATGACCATATAGCATGCTTAGGGGTAAGGGATAAGAGGATCTAGTTAAGGAGAGTACAAGGGAACAGTTTGGATGTGATTGAGTAGAATACTCACTTCAATTACCAAAAATTACCTGTATGTGAGATCAGAGTTTCAGAGTTAAAACTATAAAAGAGTCTTGATCAGTTCCATGAAAATAAAAAATGCAAAACATATACAGTATAAATATATACTAAGGGAATATACAAAATGATAACGGCCATGCTTTCTTGATTTCTATTACCGTAACTGCTTTTGTCCAAATGCATGTATTTTTGGGTGGGTATGGATCTTGTGTGTGTGTGTGTGTGTGTGTGTGTGTGTGTGTGTGTGTGTGTGTGTGTGTGTGTGTGTGTGTCAGTGTGTGTCAGTGTGTGTCAGTGTGTGTTTGCTGAAAGGCTAATGTAGTACTATAGGCCTGTCCATATGGGCCATTGTTTATGTGTGATGAATAGAGTCCACGTGTCTGTCTCTGGCACTCAACACTAAGCAAACCCTGCCGAGGGCACCCTGTTGACTTTGTGTGTGTTTGTGTGTGTGTTTGTGTGAAGGAGAGAGAATGAGTGTGTATTTGTCCTGCTGTGTGCTTGGCAGTGCCCTCAACGGTGCCATCCCGAGTGTGTTTCATCATCATCTGCCATGACAAAGATGTCTAATGACACACACATACACCCGCAACCACACACCCGCACACACACACACACCCACACACACACACACACACACACACACACACACACACACACACACACACACACAGTCCCATCTGTGCCATGGTATCCGGGTGCTTTGGGACACTGCGGGAGAGGAAGAAAGGGAAACGACCCCGCGTACCTGCACCATGTGTCTACCTCAAATTTCTTTGCTTCCCTCTCTTGTCCTATGATATTATATCTTATCCCCTAATAAAGACGAAGAAGCCACCATGAATTACACATTTGTTATGGGTCAGAATAACTACCTTACTGAGAAAAGGGCATTTTTATTGGAGGCTTTTCTGAAGCCAAACACTTAAACCCTCAGCATCCCATTAAACTTATCAAAATGTTCATTATTTAGGCAACAGTTCAGTACAGAATCTTTTGACATCCCCACAAAAAAATACTTTTGAACAGCAGTGGATGACTCTGCTTGTCTCTGTGTTTCCATCACTCACCTGGGGTATATATATGCACTTCCCCCCTCTGGGCATCATCGCAGCACACCAGTGTATCATCTACAATCTGGCCTCCACAGCATCGCACCCCATAGCCGTCATGGAGGCTCCCACGACAGCAGAGCTGACCGCCTTTTGTGGAGTAAGGAACCCCCCCACAGCAGCTGTCACCCATCCCCACAGAGACCCGGCCCTGCGAGGGGTCAGGGCAGCAGTTCTCATCTACAAAGACAAAGACAGATGAAGGAAACCCTTGAACGACATGGAAAAGATTAGACTCAAGTCAAGTAGAAAAGAGCAAATCCCATTTATGTATGAAGTGTTTTGACACTCACTGTTTTTTACATGAACATAGTATCCTCCACAGCACTGGTGGTCAGGGAGAGCTCGGAGCAGTTTGCCATTGCAGCATACTGGACTGGAGGAATTACTCAAAGTCAGGTAACTGCCCTCGCAGCAATGATGATGTGCTTTCTTAGTGTTCAATAATCCACTGCAGCAAACCTGGTGGACACACACATTTAGGAAAGTTTGTGAAGTTTAAAAAATGTATGTGTGCATTGAAAACATAGGACTATGTGTCAGAAATGGTTTCCGTCTGATCATGACGGGGAATTGTCCTATTTAAGGCCCCACTGGTATACATGGTGGAGGTTTATATGATGACATGTTTTTAGTATAGCTTTTATTTTGTTAGGTAGTTGTGTATGTTTATATTTGTGCTGTACATGTGAGCTTGAATGTTGTAATTGTTCATGCCATTGGGTGCTGCAGGGGTACATTTCACAATGCTTTCACAATGCCAACTTGGCTGGTATTCAATGTAATGACAAGTTAATCTGTTCAGAGAAATTAATCGCTGGGAGGATGACCGGGCATCCCACTGAACTGGCATGCTCTTAGAAGTGGAAATGTGAGAGTGTGCATTTGTCTGTGGGTCTCCATGTTTATTTGCATGTGTTTCTGTAATATCCTGAGGGAGTACATAGCAACAATGTATTGTTCACTGCAAATCAGCAGACAAAGTAAAGACCCCTGACTTTCTATCTTGTATTACGGAATGTTTTTGTTGAACAGTTAAGGTTTTAGAGATTACTCATGATGTGGTCTAGTGTAAAGAGGCTCTTGGATTCAGGTGAAAAGGGCAGAGAGAGGATTATGGAAAAATAAAGATTAAAAAGCAGAGCAGGTGCAATTCATACAAAACATTGTCAATCGAATTTAGTGTTATGTCTCGCAAAGGGATTAATATGTATTACAGACAAAAAAGTACTTCCTAAGTTTATTACATAACTTAGGAAGTGAAAAACGCAGTACCCAGAACAATCATTGCTGTATTTAACCTGTATATTTTGTTCCTTTATTTATTTCAGCATAGTTAATGCATTATTGTCCATGCAAAGTGCATGTGATTAGTAGACAGTAAACAACTGAATGAATTCCATAGCCTCATATATGATAACTTGTCCAGAACATAATCACCTGAGTGTCAGGATGGAAGCAGGACGTCCCACACACACCATGAGAGGCAGGACACTGCAGGTATGAACATCTGAACTTTACACCACCTGACCCTTCCCCCACAGTGACCCCTGTTGACGTGACGGCACATGACCTCAGGGTCCGTCTTAGGACATCATAGCCCAGCATGATCCCACTGGGTCTGCCTGGACCAGACCAGTCCAACCTCACCACTCTGAGAGAGAGAGAGAGAGAGAGAGAGAGAGAGAGAGAGAGAGAGAGAGAGAGAGAGAGAGAGTACGTAGTGTGTGTGTGTGTGTGTGTGTGTGTGTGTGTGTGTCAGNTGACAGCACATGACCTTAGGGTCCGTCTTAGGACATCATAGCCCAGCATGATCCCACTGGTTCTGCCTGGACCAGACCAGTCCAACCTCACCACTCTGAGAGAGAGAGAGAGAGAGAGAGAGAGAGAGAGAGAGATGGTGGTATGTTATCCTTCACACTCCTCTCACACCAGGAGGCACACACAAACTTTGTCATACCCAAACACACACACTTGCATTCATGCATGGTTAATGCCTGACAAAGTTGAGTTACAGTGTCAGGGTGTGTGTACAGTATGTCTTTATACACTTCTCACTATTGATTTTACTCTTTTTTTATCTCTGACATCTTTGGCAGGGGAAAGACCTCTGTAGTAACATACAGAGTTACAACTTCCACAGTCTCCTGGACAGGAGAAAAGCCACAAATCACCACTTCCTCCACAACTGGAAGATTTGCAACATTAAGATTTAGGTCAGACATGGAAAGCAGAGCATTTTGAATGTCATTAGTTTTACATCATATATTATTATTTTTTGAAAGCAACTTAATGTAATATTAGATAATGTAGTCTAATTATAAACTAAAACAATATAATGAAATATGTATGTTAAACAAACTAAACTGTTAATCAGAAATTACTTATATTAGTATTTCAATCTCAAAATACTACTGAAAATGAATAAACAATCACTGTGTCTTCAAGGGCTATACGTTTTTAAGCAAGGGACATTAAAAAAAGTTGTAGGCCCTTTGCCCAAAGAGTTTTAGTTTAACTGAAATTAAGCAATAACACAGTATTTAATGTCCTGTTGCACACAATCTCACATATTGTGCTTCCTTAAGAAGACACAATAATAACATGTATTGATTCTGTTTGCACTGCCAATAAACATTAACATGTTCTACAATCAAACAAAAGGCTATAACGTTTCCAAACCTAGCACAATGCTAAAGAGGACACGCAGAAAAGATACATATTTTCAGCACAATCTGTATTACCTGGGACTGATCACATGTGCGTGCGGCGTGGCCAGGTCGGCAGGCAGGTCCTCCACAGTGGTGGTTTGAGTAACATTACTCCGCACACATGCATACACAGTACACACCTCTACCTGAAATACACAAACGCAGCAGAAGAAAACATAATGCACATGCCTCTGTGTCTGCATCTAGGTGTTTCAATATTCTTTGATTGTGTGTGTACCTGTACGTTGTAGACAGTAAAAGGCAGCAGTTCCCCGAGCAGGTAGGATCCTGAGCTGTTGTCTACGCTGCCATGAAGAAGGTCATTCAGGTAGATGTAGTAACCAGTGACTGCTCCATTGGGCTGTAGAGGAGGGAACCAGAGCACACGCACTGTGCTGCTGTTAACTGGAACCACCTCTGGGGCCGACATCCCTTCTGGCTCTGAGGATGGCACATGTGAGAACAGAGACACAAAGTAGTTTGATTCTTAAAGAACAGGGCTTTAATAGGCAGGAATACAAAGAAATTAGACATGGTCATCCTCAAACACGCATGGTTAGGTTGTGGTATGAAACTGTTCTCAGCAAAATACATGTTAGCTTTTAGAGTATCTTGAGAGGTGCAGTAATGTCATCACAGGGTTGCAAAATATGCGATTTTTATTATGATTTTCAAAATAATGAACAAGTGCTTGCACAGTGCTTGTAATTTCTTTTCATACAAAAAACCTATCACTCAGACAGGCTTGTGAAAGTAATCAATTGTCCATATTAAAATGATATATTGTGACTTTCTGGTCCCCAACTGATGATGTTTTATAACAGACATGTAACATTCTCGATCTAGGCCTACATGTTTAACCATCCCTTACTTGAGGTATGTTTATACATGAGTATGTGAAAGGGAAAGAAATATAGATGGACACACACAGCTTATAGTAATGTGTGTGTAACAAACAGAGAAAAAATTGTGTATTTACGTCAAGTTTTATGTATATAGCGCCATGTAGTGACAGAAGTTATCACAACAGTTACAGTATCACAAAGGGCAAATCTAGGTCATACCAAGGCTGAATGTGAGTCTGAGTGTCAGTGAGGGAGGGAGACCACCTGTGTGTCTGTGGAGTATATCCTTGATAATGCTATCCAGCAGTAAATGAAATGTCGAGCCGTGGGCTGGGTATACTAGGTAGGTGCACTGGCAGAAAATGAATTGGATTAACTTCACTTACCTGAGTGCATTTTCACTAAGAGTAATAGATTGATTCTGCACGATCAGCTCGCCCCCGCACTTTTTCTCTTTCTTATAGGCAGAAGTGAATGACACTGTGTTGTGTTATTATATTCTTTCTGTTTCCTACATGTCCTGTCAATCAATTTCCCTGTCTTCCTTTAATTCCCTTAGATCAGTCCTCCAAGAAATCCTCTTTCAGCACATCCACAGAGGACAATGATACTAAACCAAAAATTCCTATGGTGATTAATATAATGTGGCTACCCTATGGGACATGAGTTGCAGATACAGAGGCAAAAAGGAAGGAGTGAAGGACACAGGCAAATCTGACAAATAGAGGACAAGTACAGATAATCTGTGAAAGAAGATATACAGTGTGCACAAGTTTAAAGGAGAACAGTGGGAAAAAGGACACAGAATATCCTTAAACTTAACTTTTTTTAACAATGGGGATCAAGTTGTGTGTCGAAAATAGGAAAGAGAACCAAACAGAAGGAAATAATACGAGAGATGGCGCGTGAGAAGGTAATCATACAGACTCCATCTATTATTCTAAGTGAAAATGCACTCAGCTAAGAGAAGTTAACCCAATTCATTTGCTGCCAATGCACTTACCTTAACCCAACCTACTGCTCTACATTTCATTTACTGCAGGATGGCATTATCAACGCAATACTGCACACTGAGCCTCTTTCACTCCTACACACACAGACGCTCGCTCATTTTTCTTGCCAATTAGTCCTGATGCCCTATAGATGGCAGGCCGTGTTAGGACGGTTGGTAGGGTTGAGCTGCATTAGGTAAAATATATTTGGCCTTTGTCTATGTGTGTGTGTGTATGTGTGTGTGTGTGTGTGTGTGTGTGTGTGTGTGTGCACTCTTATGGCTGTAAAATAATGAAATTACCTCCAGAGCCCTCTCAGTTAAACGAGCCGTGCTTTGCCTTTAGCACCTAATGATTTTCTAATGTTTTTAATGCACTTTTTATTATACTGCTCAGATTAGAGGGAAGGAGAGAGGCCTCTGACATATGATCATATTGAGAAAGAAATAGAAATGTGAGGGGGGAAAAGAGACAGAGATAGTCAGAAAGAGTGATTGAGAAAAGAAAAGTAGACGGAAAGAAAACAACAGAAAGAGTGCACGGCCTCTGACATATGATTACATCGATTTATTTGAAAGCTAACTCTTAAATGCTGAGAAGAGACTGGAAGTTGGAAAGGGAAATGGAGAGAAAAGTCGTGATGACAGTTGGATAGCCTGTGCAATTCACAGCTAAATATAAAAGCCAACCCTGCCTGAAAAGTGGAATACCAGTAGATTGGGGAACTGATATTCTTTTTCCATATTGTATTTAATACACCCTCCCAAAGCTGCAGATTTTACACTCTGATAAACAATGTCAGTAGTTGATTATACAAATATTGTCAAATGATGCAGAGACAGCTTAAGCTCTTTTAACAATGTGTTATATTGATGACCCTTGCATAGGTGGAAGACAGAGGGATGTCTATGATTTCACTTGTATTTATTTTTCATAGATTTATTTAAAATATATAAATCACATTACAGATTGAGTGATGTATTGTAATTGTATTGGTACAGTAATTATGGGCTGCATTACACATGGGAACAGCCATGTTTGTTGTCTTGTTTGACAGGTAAAATACTGCATGTGTGTGTGTAGCTACGGTGTGTGTGCAGTTTGCAAGCGTTTGTCTGCCTGTGGTGCCAGCAAGCATTTTACAACACCTTAAATCTGCCTCACACACACACTTTGTATTGATTTCATGCCTCACTACATGATGTGTTTAACATCTCCTGTGAGGCACAGAGTTGCAGAGAAATGCACATTAACACAGACCCCTCTCTTGGATGTATTGAATTTACGTACTATGTGACACACTCATATACATAGAGTCTGCGCACAATAACATCCAAGGAAGAAAACACATTTGAACTGATTTCTAAAATCAATTGTTGGACAAATTTCACACAAATATACACTTACCTCCATCTTCTGTGGTGACGTTTACTGATGCCTTTGTTGTATTATGTGCTCCGTTTGACACTTGAATTGACAACACATATGTGGTGCTGGGCCAAAGATCACTTATCACTGTGGAGACGATCTCACGGGGAAAGGTAACATTTTGACTTGACTGTGCAGATGCTATTGTCAGAAAGTACGAATCCACCTCTCCCTGTAGGTCTTGCAAAGCTGAAAAACACATAAGTGTTAAGAGATAAGTGTAAGGGAGAAGTTTTTTTTTATTTATATAAAAAAATATATAAATTATTTTTAGTCTCTATTTTCACTTTTTCAGCAATTGTCAAGTCAGAAAACAATTTGTTGGGCAGGGTGTGTGTTTCAGAGACAGGGTGATCTTACAGGGTTGTGTCCAGTCGACCTGGACAGCAGTGTGATTGACAGCGTGGGCAGACAGAGATGGAGGGTGGTGGGGAACCCCCGCCATGGTGACAGCCTCAACCATCTCTCCTGAAGTGTAGCCCACGCCATTATGAACCTCTAACTGGTACTGGTAACGGGTGAATCTGTTGACAGAAAATATTGGTGTTTTTCGATAAGATCAGAGATTTAGATTTTAGAAAGTTAAAAGCTTCTAATGCTGCTGGAAAATATGTAATAAAAGGGTGAAAAAATACATATTTTTCTGTCAATCATTCCAAATTAGCTAATAACGTCCTTCCTGGTACACCTGAATCCTTTCTTCATCGAAGGAATTTGGAGACATTTGTTAGTGATGTGGAATAATAATTTCAGTCGCATCTACCATAAGAAGTTTCTGTAAATCCTGCTTAAACAGTACGGTGACTTCTTATTAAACAAACATTACATTCTCATAAAGTAATTCATAGGACAAAAATAATAAAACCCTGCAAAGTGAAAAGAGCTGACCCGTTCAAAAGTTTGTCAGTTTAATACTGAAATAAAGCACAGTAGAGACACAAACCCAAACAGACTACACCCAGAGCCGTTTAGCAAGCATAGAGGGGAAACAAAATTAGCTTTCACCAAGTGCCAAACTGAGATTAGGGGACGCTGTGTGAAAAACAATTTAATTCTTTGGGATATTTGCTTAATGTATCTTTGAGCGGTATTAAAAGATCGGCATCAGCGGCAGCTCGCCGATCGGCTCTGCACACACGGTTTGCTGCAGCGCCGGCGTTTGCTCTAGAGCTCATTTCAGTAATCTCACCTGCTTAGGCCTTTATCTTGGTAGAACAATTTGGTGCCGGAGTAAACATGGAGCCAGCGATGGAGATCTTCAGAGGGGGGAGGGGACACGGCTGTTACCGTGGGGACCGTGGCGATGGCCAGGGGCTGGTGGGTTTTACGTCTGAGCAACTTGTATCTGAAGGGGAAATTTGAATAAAGGAAAGCACACACACATGGTTGGATGTTTAGGAATGCATTAACACCCAACACATGTCCCCACATGCACCAACATGAGCACACAGACACACACTGTACCCACAAAGCAATAAACATATGCATACACACAAAACACGCTTTAAAACACAATTTTCTACTAACTCTTCTGCTTATCGCTCATTTCTTCCTCTTCTGCTGTTTTTTCATCATCTCTATTATTTTGCGTTCACTGTATCTCACCCCTCCCTCCTGACGCCCCTCCCTCTGTTGTTTTTTTTTCTGCAGGGTTTGTGTTTTCCTCTCCCCACAGTGATGCTAATTTCTGCTGTAATCAGAAGAGAAGGGCTTAATGCCGCCTTTTAACAAACCCACTTAGACAAACACACAGAGCTGAGCAGAGCAGAACAGAGAGATGGGCTCATGCATTTTAATGGCCTGCCAGAAAAATGGACCTTTATTTTAGGCCTAATCACCGACAGAGTAGAACAGGAAAGAACAAAACAGAACAGAATGTGCATTAGGACTGAAAAAACACTGATTAAAAAATACACAACACTTAGCTCATTACCAGGGCACTCATGTTAGCAGCTTGTTAAGGTGTACATATCAGCTTGTTTGCTGAAGTTTTTCAACAACAATTGAACATCACCAGGATGTGTCTCTAAAAAACAACATGCTGTAGCGTCTCGGCAGCTGGGTTTCTAATTTTGTTCTTTTAACTAATGAATAAAGTTATGGAAAATGAATAAAGTTATTCAAAGTTATAATGATTACACTGATCAATGTCTACTTATATTGGCTTTTCATTTTCACTATCTTTGCATATCAGTGTTTTACCCATATGCATTTAACTAATAGTGAACAACAATGTTGACATCCATCTAAAGTGATCTCTCAGTGGTCTCATACAATGTAACTGAGCCATCTTTGATATGGATTATGTTTAATATCCATCTTACCTGATGTTAGGTCCATTGGGCCTGCTTGGTGGTTGCCAGGAAATAGCCAGGAAGGACTCACTCACTGCCACCACAGACAGGGGTTCAAGGCCTTCAGGGATTGTGGGTAATGTGGTAGCGGGCATGGGCAGGCTTTCTGTACACCCCCCTACATGTCCACCGCCATTGGAACAAGACAACAAAGTGATACTGTAGTTTGTGTATGGAATAAGGTCCTTTATTGTGATGTTGAGCGCCGAAGCATTGCCACTGTCATGGAAGATGCGGGGTTCTGGGAGGCGGATCTCATAGCCATGGATTTCTCCGTTGGGAATAAGAGGAGGGGACCATGTGACCTGCAATTCAATAAGGATAAGGATGTTGTATTAAAGTTCTTGGTTGTTCATATACAATATCGTATTTGGATAATCAGGGTTAAAGTGCACAGAAAACCAAAGGTCTAGTTCATTTAATCCTTTCTCACTGTCCTAACATTATTCCAGAAAAGTCATCTCATTGGTTGGCTGGACATTCTGAATATTCTCGGCATGCTGAGGATGGCAGAAAGCTTTTAGATGGATGAACTACAGGAAGTCATGGCACACTGTGTGTGTGTTTATGTGTGTGCATGTGCAAAGCTTGCAGATGTTCTCATGCAAACCTATATGTGCATCACAGTGGGAATGCATGTGTGTTCAGTTGATTGCTAGAAGTGATATTGTGAAAGTAGTGTCCATGCGTGCGTACATTGTCGCCTTGGTATGTGAATTTAAAGAGTGAGTGTGTGTGTGTTAAACTCTCTTGTGGGGAAAGATAACCTGACTTTGACTTCAGCAGAAGATTCCTTTCATCAAATTTAAAACTGGGTACACCCGTCCCATACACACAAACACGCGCACACGCACAAACACTATGCTAAAATAATGAAAACGGCTGGTAATGGAATTGCTGCATGCAAAAACAAAAGCTTGCTGTCGTTGAGCACTGCATCTGATTTGGAAACAGTTCAGTCTGTCAGCATTTCAGAGTGAAGATGAAGGTAACTGGCACACACACAATTGGTTGCACGCACGCACGCACGCACGCACGCACGCACGCACGCACGCACGCACGCACACACACACGCACGCACGCACGCACACACACACACACACACACACACCTCTACATATTTGAATGACAGATATCTATGTGGTAAATGTTGTTTTTAACACACATGCCCATACAAACAGTTATACCTTAATTTAACAATTGCGTTACACACACAAACGTATCCTCAGAACACCAAACACACACCTGTCACTTATGTAGACAAACTGTCATGTACAATAACTGATCAGTTTAGCACTTGTTGAGACTTATGCGTTCAGGTGATTAAGCGGTCAATGTTGATGAGAGTATTATGAATGAACGTCAAGAATAATAATTTCTCATGCAACCTTGATATTTATTTAATAAGTGACGCTGTGAGGTGATACAGGACACACACACACACGCACACTCAGAGACACACACACCACCACATATGGGCAGGGTCATGTTGAGTTAGGCAGCTCATTTCCCAAAGTGCGTGTTGGGTGTGCTTTGTGGTGGAAGTCATTTACAGATTGAATAGCTTGATGTAATCTGGAGATGGTGAAGACAGCAGAGACCCGGGGCTGACACAGAGCACTGGGGCTAAGGCCAGTGTGTGTGTGTGTGTGTGTGTGTGTGTGTGTGTGTGTGTGTTTGTTTATGCGTTTATGTGTATATGAGTGAGAGAGAGAGAGAGAGAGAGAGAGAGAGAGAGAGAGAGAGAGAGAGAGAATTGATGAAGCAGGTGGTGAGATAGAAAAGGTGTGTGTTTGTGTGTGTGTCTTTCTGAATGTAGGCCATTATGTTCAGAAAACCTCAAAAGGCCCTAGGAGTGCCAACCTCTGCAGCTGACAGTAAAATTACAATATCTGTTTTTAAATGTATCCACTTGTTCAATTCCATATGATGGCAGACTTATATTGTCATCCTACAAACATACTCTAAGGATCTTTTCTGACATTTTTTTTGTTGATGGGTCACAGATCCAAATGGGCAAAATCAAATTAATGGTTTGCATTAAAGGGTATCAATATGCCTTTAGAATAACTAACTAACTAACTAACTAACTAACTAACTAACTAACTAACTAACTAACTAACTATCAGCAAAGGCATAACTACATTGGCAGAGATAGAATACTGTAAGTGAGAAACTTAAATACTCTTAGATGTGACTGAGAAACAATCTTTAAGTATTTTCTTGTATGCGGACCCCCGTAAGAATAGTTGTTACTGCAATAATCACTTATTAAAACCCTAAATAAAGAATCAAGAAGAACAAAGAAGAAGCCTTATGTTAAAGTGCTGACCTTTTCAGATACTGTATATGATTTTATACCAAACCTCTGTGCAGTGTCTGCGTCGTCCGCCTTTTTATCGCTATGTGTAGTAAAAATAAATCAAAAACAAGGTAGAAATAGTAAAAAAATTAAGTGAATACCCCTATGAGGAAGAAGTGATATCAAAAAGATACCATTTAGAGAATGAAGGGAGTTACTCAAAAATCCTGTCTGTGTTGTCAAGGTCAATTGGTAACCAGGAAGCAGTCTGCCTGTCTGTCCAATTAGCAACAACCAGGAAGGAACACTTTTCTTCTCGGACCTATGAACCCTAAAGCTGTGCTGCTGCAGAGATGACAGGGGCGGTTCTGAAATGATGACAGGCATTAGCATTTTTCTGCAGTTAGCATTAGTGCAGGGCTATGAGTGCATGTGTGTGTGTGCATATCTGTGTGTGCATGCATACAATATTTTTTCAGTGGCTTTCATTGATGGGCCTTGATGTGGGATTAGCCAGTGGTGGAACTTAACTGTGGCCCCTCCTTCAAAATGGCCGACAGGAAGGAAGCTTCCTCAGACAGGGTCACAGCCCATCCTATTTTCTGAAGGGGACCTTGAGTTGAATGTTTTTCTTTCTCATTAAATCCCAAGAAGGAAAGACAGAGGAATCAGAATGACATTGCTTTGTCTTTTCTACTCTGTGACTGAAGTTGTGTTATATATTTTCGTTGTATTTTTACATGTTACAAGACATGTTTTCAATTCTAAAAGCTCAAACAGAGTTCCTGAAACAACAAGTGATATTGTGATTATTAACTATAGCAGCATGGTGGACATGGATTACATTATTTTGGTTCAGCCGATCAAGAATATATCAAATCTATTGTGGCCATGCCAAATCCAGGAGGTTTTTATGAACGGGAGAGAAGTCAGCTTAAAAAAAGCTGCCCATACCTGAAGTGACTGTGGCCCCAAAACCTTCACTCTTGGTGGATTGAGTCCGGCTGGACGAGAAGGTCTGGTGGTGATATTGACCCAGAGCCCTGCAATAATTTAACAGAATGTGGTTGAAGAGCCTGCTGTGAAACAACAAACGCTTGTAGTATGAATCCTCAAGTTTCACACAAAACTGTACATTTTGTGAAGCTGGCCAAAGGAAATCTAAAAAGCAACATATGGACATGTTGTTCAGATTTAATTTATAGTCGATTATTATGATCCTACCGGTGGTGTTGCCAGCCTGATTGTGGAGCACAAGTCGATACTGGTAGCTGGTCCAGGGACTGAGAGCTGAAGAAGAGTCCAGGAATGACAGAGGTGGAGGGTCCGGTGGGAGATGGCCCACCGTGGAGACTTGTTTGGTCCCAGCAACTCTTCGCTCAATCAGCCACCTATGCCCAGCACAATGTAATATAAATAAAAAGATCATGGAGGGGTTGAAGCGGTATGTATGTGATCATATCTCACCGCTCTAATGGTCCATTGTTCGACTCCGGTGCTCCCCAGGACAAAAGAACAGAGGTGGGGGTGTCTGAGTAAAGGTGAGGCGCAGGAACCCCTTCAGGTGGAGCTGGGAGGGTACGAAAATCCTGAGACATCTCAGACACTGAACAACCCACACTGCTGCACGCCTCCACCTGGATGTTGGAGAATAATGTTTAAATATCTGATGTACGGCAACAGTAAATTGTAATATACATATCACAGTTTTAGTTTAGTACTTATATTGCTAGATGTTTCTTTGCAGTTAATATATCTCCAAATGATAGAACATGATTAATTATAATTGGGAAACCATCACTGGCATGCTACCATACATATTCGAGTGGAAACAAGGAAAATCAAGAGTTCTGTGAATAAGGAAATTCAGTGTCATCTGTGACTGGAAACATGTGACTTTTATAATTAGTATTGTATAATATTCATGTATTGTATAAGTGTTGTGTTTCATTTATTATCTTTGCTTTTTAAATGCCTGTTGTAAAATGCATACACATTATATAATGTGTTTCTGCTGTATTTATTCTTAAACGTCTTTTATTTTATTTTGTAAAGCACTTTGAATTGTCGCGTGGGCAAGTTTATTTATATAGCACCTTTCAGCACGCGACAATTCAAAGTGCTTTACAAAATAAAATAAAAGACGTTTAAGAATAAATACAGCAGAAACACATTATATAATGTGTATGCATTTTACAACAGGNGTGTGTGTGTGTGTGTGTGTGTGTGTGTGTGTGTGTGTGTGTGTGTGACTCAACTTTAGGTCAGAGGCAGAGTCATTTTCCTGCTTCTGTCATGTGAGTTTCGCCTGCTTGGAGAACTATGAGCAAAGATTGTGATCAATTATGTCTGCCAATAGTCACCAAAGTACATTTTGGAAGTATCATTCACAANCTTAAACGTCTTTTATTTTATTTTGTAAAGCACTTTGAATTGTCGCGTGCTGAAAGGTGCTATATAAATAAACTTGCCTTGCCTAACATTTTTATTATTGAATTTAAATTCACCATAGCATAATAAGAGACGAATACAGACTGACATGTGTTTCATTTTAACATTATCATTGTATTTAAATGTTTTTTTCACAATTGCATAATCTAATGTTAAATATATTACACTGTTCATCTCCTATCGTGTTCTACCTTTGTATATTTCTTATGTATTGTACCTGGAGGCGGTAGGTCTGGTATGGCAGCAGGTCGAGGAAAATGTAGCTGGTGGTGTTCCCGGGAACAATGACTGACAGACGGGATGAACTTGAATCTGATCCTGCACTATATAAACTGGAAATAGGGCTTTGGAATGAGTCTTTTTTTAGAATATTTTCAGAGCTGGTGGCATTGGGTTCAGGGTGTGAGAGTGAAACACTGGAGCTTTGGTTTTCAGTGGCTGTATTGGGTTGAATTGGGTGGAAGGAGATGAAAGTTGGGCCTTGGCTTGTATTGCTTACACCAGTGGACTCGATTGGGTTTTCCTCTGTGATACCAGGCCTCATGCTAGAGAAAGGGTTAGGGATCAGTTTTGTTCTTGTGCCTTGGATGGTGCTTGAGCTGTTATTACTGCCTGTGTTGATGGTGGACATGGAGACAGGTCTTGAGTCTGGGGTTGTAGGAACAGATGTTGAAATTATGTCATGACTTGAGTTGAGATGTGGAGCCTCAGTGCTGGGCAATAGGCTCTGGTTAAGACCTGATGTGGAGCTGAGGGTCGTGCTGGTGCTGGAGACTGAGCTGGGTTTGAAATCTAAAGAAGAGATGAAGCTCGGGTAGAGGTACAAGGTGTAATTGGTGATCATGCCATTTGGTTGGGAGGGAGGAACCCAGGTTACTATTACACTTCGGGGATGAAGCTCAGAAACAGCTGGAGGGTCCACCGGTCCTGGACCTAGGAGGCAAAGAAAAATAAATGGATAAAGGGACGCCATAACGAATAGAAAAAAAGACAGGCGATAAATATATTCTTTGTGTGTGCTAATAAGAGATTGAGAGAAAAAATTGAAGGGGGATTTATTCTAAAGCATTATTTGACAAGTAACATCAAGAATGACATCAGAAGGACAAAGAGTGATTTTGCCATCCCTATCCAAGGGATTAACAAGAAAACTCTTTCGCTCTCAATTTCTACCCCTGAGCAAACCAAGATTGTATTTATGGATTTATGCTTTACCCGTGACTGTTTGAATGTGAGTCTGTGCATCCTCCAGCAGAGGATTCCGGAGGTGATGTGCAGGTCAGTCATATACTTTTTAAGTTCGATGGAATAATTTTAGATTTTGAGAAGAACTTATGGCAATTGCTTAACTCAGGAAACAAAAATTGGTTGCAAATGTATAACAAGACATTGTTCAGCAGAAACACAGCTGTGCCTTAAATTATTATGTTCAGAAGCTGAAGTGATCCTCACTATAAGTAAGAGTCAAGACCAACATAGATGTACATCAGAAGCCCAAAGGAACACACACATAGTCATACGATTTCTACATGTCCATGCACGGATAAGAACCTACACAAGACTAGTCAGTGAGTGATATTTCACTCCACGGTACCTCATTTGAAGGTAATGCCCCTTTCCCCCTCCTCCCCCGGCATTTACATCCCACTGTACTGCTCTATAATGGACACACACAGATGCATGTCGGTATACGTAGACACACACTCTTCCTGACACACACACACTCACATGCCCACACCCACAGTGATGCAGTATAGCAGTAATGGTGCTGTGTGAAGGGCAAGCAGATCAAGGTGACTGAGCGGACTGAGGGAGCGTGCTGCGTCGCTAAGTGCTACCGCTAACCGCTAACGGCTTTCCCAGATGGCGGTGCGTGTGTGTGTGTGTGTGTGTGTGTGTGTGTGTGTGTGTGTGTGTGTGTGTGTGTGTGTGTGTGTGTGTGTGTGTGTGTGTGTGTGTGTGTGTGTGTAAGAGAGAGACATAGAGAGGGTGAAACAAGACGAGCGGTTGAGAGTATGCATGAATGATTGTGTGAGAGATAAAGTGTGCGAGGATGTGAATGTGTATGTCACTAGCGTGCACATACAGCGGTTGTGTAAGAATGGGTGTATTTTGCAACTACAAACTGAAAGGCCGTACTTCATACAGCCTTAGAGGCCAACTAACATTCCGTTTTTGGACCAGATGATCCACTCCTAAAAGTTTTAAATGTATCTGCTTTTAAATAGTCTAAGTTTACTGGTATATTAAGCTGTTTTAAAATGTTCAAAAACTAAAGAAAGCAGGAAAACTTTTTTCAAAGTTGAAATCTTTCTGAAAATGTTGTTGGTGGATTTACAGATGGATCCTCATGATTGAAAAAGCCACTGTCTTTTAACTGATCACTAAGGCTATGTAACAAAAGACTGTTATGTAGTTTGACCATGTGTGCTAAAACTAACACTAGCTAACTATTGAGTCAGACACAAAGAGAAGCAAATCAAAAGAAAATCTGAATCAGAGAATCAGAATACCTTTATTAGTCCCACAGAGGGGACATGTACATTGTTACAGCAGAAAAGAGCCAACAACGGCTTAATGTAAACTAAGAAGCATGCATACAAAAATATTAAAGATACAAAAATTATAAAAATTACATAAATATTAAAAGATACTGTACATTAAAATCCCAGCGGGTCAGCCACTCACAAACACACACACATTGTTCATTGCACATTCACATTTTCCTATCTCCCACACAAATAAACAGCAGTATAAAAATGAGGATGTGAAGCTTGGCTGATTTTACAGATCACAAAGAGTCCAACCAACAACCCATCTTTCTTTCTATCTATCTACATCTCTCCACCTGTCTGTCTTTTCCTTCTTCTCTTCCTTTCTCTGACCCTTCCCTTTCCCCCACCACCTCTTTCATTTTCTCCTGTCTCTCTCTGTTACTCGTGCTTTGTGTGGCGGTCTCTTTCCTTCTTTCGCTCTCTCCCTTTCTGGTCTCCCTGCTAAATAAACAATGCAGAGAGTTGACCTTTTGGGTTAACAGGTTTTTATGCTAGCTCTACTCAGCACTCACACTGATTCAATTACCACCAAAGGTCCACTGAACCCCACGAATAACCAAGGAGCCCGTCTCCCCGTCTGTCCATGTGCCTATCTGCCGGCCTGTCTGCGCGCCTCACTGCTTTCTGCCCGCTTTGCGACGGCCGAGGATTCTTTTTACGTGTTTGTCAAATTAATTAGAAATTCAGCTTCCTAATGTTTATCTAACTTTATTTCCTTGTGTCTGTCTGATCAGAGTATGTCTCTTCCAACAGACGTAAAAACACACAGCTAAGAGATCCAAAAAAAGAAGATCGCGGAGGAAAATCCTAAATTGCAGAAACATAATCAAGTCACCTTCATCCAGCCCCCGTCAACCACCCAAAATAACCGCTGTTGTCACCCCTCGATTCCTCCCTCGTTCCTGCTCTCCTCCCCTCCCCCTCTCCATCTAAGTGTTGAGTGTTATTTAGGCTTTACTGGCGCGTGTAAAATTCTGCAATTTGAAGGGCTGTTAAGTTTTTCAATTGAAATTTTCATTTAAGATGCAGGTGATGCTTTTCCCCTTTTTTTTATTTTACTGACGCTTTACTGCTCTCTGGATAGAAGGGAACGAGTGTTTAGGGAATGCGTAGCAACCGCTCTCTCTCTATGGTTTCCTGACTCCTTAACTCCTTTTCCCTCTTCCTCTCTGTCCCGCTCAACTCATCCTCCCTTTTCCAGTTCCTCTTCTTTTCCATTGTCTCCCACTGACTTATTCTCTCCCCCCTTTGTGTTTTGTCTTCATTCCTTATGCCTTTATCTCTTCCTTACCCTCTCCCATTTTCCTCCCTCCACACCTCCCACTGTTACTCCTCCTCTCTCCAGTAAAACACAGTAGCAGAAGGCTAAAACAGGAGTGCGGGGCCGCCAAGCCTTAAATCACATTTATAAGGATTTGGTTAGCATAGTAATAACACAATCAACTGACAAGGGCTGGGAGAGGGGGAGGGAGGAAGGAGTGTGTGTCCATGGGTGTGTGTGTGTGTGTGTGTGTGTGTGTGTGTGTGTGTGTGTGTGTGTGTGTGTGTGTGTGTGTGTGTGTGTGTGTCTGCATGTTACGTAGCTTTTTGTACATATTGGTGTGCTTATGTTTGTATGTAAGAGCCTGTTTAGATGTAAGTGTGTACATCTGTGAGTATCCATGTGACGGGAAAAGGAAGGGTATTATTTTTAGCCCCGCACAGGGCCCTGTGTGTGCATGTGTGTATGTGGGTGACTGGGATTTTGAAGGTGAGTCGAGGCTCCTCAGAGTCATAATGAGGACAAACGCTGAGCTTTAGTGTAATCAAGATGCTTACGACGCGGTGTCAAAACGTGACAAGTAATACGGCGGGAATTTACATTGCATTTCATATCTTTACTTTTTCTGCAGATTATTTAATATCATGGCTGCTTTAGGAGACGCTGAAGAGGCATTCAGAAAGAGGATGATGCATGACCAAGGTCATGAGCTTGATTTGTATCCATAACATCGTGAGTACATATGAGAAGTACATTAGCCTTTAAGTAACTACGAACATCACAATACCTGAAACATCAATCACTCAAAAATATTCAATACCCTTCTCAGACACTGACTACTTTGAGTGATTTACTTAATTCCAGATAACCTTCTGATGTATTTATGTACTCCAGAAAGAAAAGATAAAGTTCACAGTATTATATGGCTTTCAAAATAAAATGTGGAAATATGTTGGTGTGGATTAGATTTATAAGGGAACCTGAGTAAAGACATTCTCAAAATATTACGGAAGATATGTGACTGGTGGGGAATTAACAGACATGTTTATTTTGGTTCTTACAGTATATTTAAAAGAGCAATGTGCAAATATAGGTACATTCAATGAGAATATAAAACTGTACTTCAAATATTCAAGTTATCTCTTGATATGCAAAATAGCAATGGGATTGTGTTAACATTACTTCCAGATTTAATTGGGAACACTAACTGAATTCTGGGAGAAAAGGTGGGATTATTACTATTTTATTAATGCAGTCACTCAATCATTAAATAAAAGGAACTCTTTGTGTCCTGTCATTACTCAATAATTTCTTTTTTTTCCTCTTTCACACGTCTTCTTTCTCACACTTTCTGCATTAAATTAAATGAAGTAAAACAGTGCTTCTTTAATGTTCTCTCTCTCTCGCGCACACACACACACACATTCTTTCTTTCTAGACTGATTGGCTAAGATCATTTTGTCAAAATTGTGCTTTATTCATACTCCCATAACACAAGACACACACACACACACACACACACACACACACACACACACACACACACACACACACACACACACACACACACACACACACACACACACATTCTTAGATCACTGGGCCTGTGTGAACATGGGAGTAGACAGAGCAAAGGGAGCTGTCCAACACGGCTAGAGTTTATGTTCACAGGAGCCGTCTGTCTGTTCTGCAGCAGCAGGAATTCATAGGGACCAAATTACATTAAAAAGATGGATATAAAACTTTAATGGAATGATAAAAAGGAAAGGAGGAAGCGTGGGTCTCCCTCTTTCTCTGTTCTGTCATTAGCCTTTTTCTTTTCTTCTCTTCCTGTCTTTTCCACAATTCCTCATTTTACCTTGTTGCCCCCTCCATTTCTCTTTTCAGACCATTTTTTCTCTCCATTTCTTATATTGTTTTTTTCTATATTCTCTCCTCGATCTCTCATCACTTCTATCACTTGTAAATTCTTAAGGGCTGGTCCGTCAAATACAAGAGCTAAAACCTGTCTTTCATGTTTGAGCACAAAGAGTTGGCGGAAGAAGGAAAAAGGAAGAGGTAAGACAAAAGTAGAGAGACATAGGAAATACAAAAAAAATCAAAACATCCATAAAAGCGAGAAGGGATCAAATTAACGAGGTGAACATATATTCAAATCCATATTGTTAACAAGGGTCCACGTCAACAAACCATATATTATTAACAGTTTAGTAACAAAGTGGACATCTTACAACTACAACAGATCAGGTTTATGGGAACTCCAAAAGGGGACAATTCCAAAAATGCATATATATCTACCTTACATGTAACTTGAATTAATGCATGTTTTTGGTGGTCCAACGATAAATGCTATTATACTGAATAAAAAGAATAAAATGCTTTCTACAGTTAATATTTTTCAAGCATGTGGGAGAGAAGATTAGGAGAGGAATGCATCCGTTCCTTTCCTCTCACTGCCACGATGAAGAGAGGGTGGGTTTATGGCGACAAATTACACATCAATGCAAAACCCAATCGGGCTGCACTTAGCTTTTTCCTGTCATGGTTTTAAATCCCTTCTGATTAAAAGCTTCCGCGCCTATCATGTATTCTCTTATTATGTAAAAATAAATAATCATAATCATAAAAAGACACATGTAGTATTATATACTCTACGTCTATTAAAATGATTGATTTATCAGAACCAGAAACAGATTATGCTTATAGATGCGCGGTTAAGTCTTATTTTGTAGATTTGTTTAAACTTCTATTCCATATAAACAGAGATGGAAGTCGGCAGCATAAAAGATAAAGTGTTCGTATGTTTTTTTTCTTTTTCTGTACAATTTAAACTGTCTCAGCCTCAGAGGCTGTGTACGTGCTTTAGTGATGAGCCTTGTCTGCATGAAACTTCATGATTATGTGTTATTGCTTGTGAGCATGAGGAGGTGTGTGATTGATACGGACGACAAGGCGGTGTGTTTGTATGACACATGTTCTCAGTGTGTCTGTGTATGTGTGTGTGTGAGGGGGCCTGAGAGAGGCAGAGAGAGGGATGGAGGTTTGAACGATGGGGCACAGTGTGACCGAATGGACACATCTATTACTGTCCACACACACACACACACACACACACACACACACACACACACACACACACTGAGAGAGGGATGTAGATTCACGCACCTCTCAGTCTCGCATGAAAACTCACAAGCGAACACAACTGCCCAACTTATCTATGATGGTTAAAAACATGAACGAATGTGTTACAAAAGCTCAGTATGTTTGAGAAGGAGTGTGTATGTGTGTGTATCTCTGTGCGTGTTTGCTGCAGAGAAATCAATTCTGAATAGCAATGAGAAAAGCATAGGGCTATCATTTAACGTATCCTAAATATCTGCAATTGTGTTACTGCATTTGTGTGTGCATGCATCGGTGTTGTGTCCATGTGAATGTGTTTATGCATAGCATACACCGCGCATACATGTGAACATACACATTTATGTGTGTATACATGCACATGTATCCTATGTATGCAAATCTCAGCTGCTTAATGATAATGTATGTGATAATAGCGTGGTACTAATTAATTTATAACTTTGCACTGAGGAGGCTGTTCCAGTGGCTAATATGATTCTATTACAGCAATTAGCCCACAATGACACTGGCTAGGTCACTCACACACAGACACACACCTTAGAGTATGCAAATCTCACTGTCAGCGTGTTTCACTCTAACTTGCTTGTCCCTAAATTTCATTTTTAATAAGTTCGGTCTCTGTCTTTCTTCCTAATTTTCTCTAATTGATTGACCACCTCCACCAACAGCAAGGAAGTAATACACTTTTATGAAATGAAACCCTGGAGACTTTCAGAGAATAAAAGATGGGCAGAGGCTCTGCTTTTCCAAGGCCATATGTTTAATGTGAAAGCCTATTGTTCAGATCATCACCTAAAATCAGGAGATCTGTTGGAAAACCCGGACTTTAACTTTGACTCAGCACACAAACAGTCAACTGACGGCAGAGGCCAACTAATAACCAGCTGTTGCCAGCCACCTGCCATCCAGTCACTTGGCTGACACAAGCACCCAGGCCGCACAATTCATTGTGAAATGGCAACAGGTACTCTATATAACAGCAGTGCTGAGTGTTTATATGACCACCAACAAGTTAGTTCCTATTTTTTATAGTTATTTAAAATGTTTCTTGAGCATGTGTGCATTGAAACAAATGCATGCCTCTAAGAATAATGTTTTTCTTGTGTGCACTTGTGTCTGTAAGTCTACTTACTGTCCTCCGCGGTGCGCAGGGTGGCCCAGGGGCCGACTGTCTGCCCATGAGTGTGTGAGACCACCACTCTGAACACGTACTGGGTGAACGGTGAGAGGCCCTCTACATGGTAGGAAAAGGTGTCGGTTGCGTTTTCCACAAGCCTAAGAGTCAAAGGAGAGAAACATACATTTGCTGAAAAACACGTCTCAATTAATTAGTCAATCAATCATTTGTATTATTACTGTCAAGAAAAGGGTTTATCTTTGCATGTGAATCCAAGCAGTTGGGGTAAATCCCTAGCAAGACTTGACACTGTGATGACAAAAATGTTATTGAAAACACATTTTCACCACTACTTAGCAAAGTGTAGTTTACCATTGCTATGGATACCCTTTGTCCTGAGCACAAATATTTGTTACTGTCTTCATTTCTACATTTATATTTAAACTTTAACCCCCATGTCTTGTTTTTGCTCTTGAATCCCTAATTATGGAGGTTCAGCGCTGGACAGCTCCCCAGGATGTGTTGGTCAGCTAATTTCTACAGTTCATGGTTACAATGACATTTGCTAGCCAGACATTTAACACTGCATGTTTGTGTTAGACAACATTAAAATATAGAACAGACCTGTACTTTTGCTGATAACATGGAGAAACCCTTTTTTTTTGGTTCTAGCGAATCATAGTGTACATGCAGTGACCCTTTAATGGTGGATTGTGAAGGAATTTTGGTCCGCGATGCAAAGGTAGTAAATAAATATAGCACAGATATGAAAAATAAAGCGGTTCATTTATATTCATTATCAAACGTTTTTTTACCGAAGATTTTGTGGTAACTCTATATCGCAGTTTTTTTTTTCTGAAAGTGTTAAAGATCATCAATCATATCACTTTCCACATATGTTGTTTCTGTTTGGTGTGCTCTAATATGTATTTCTAAATGAATTGTACTTCAGATGTAATGTTATCAAAGTGTCAATGGACAAGTTTCATAAGGTAACTTAACAGTGATTTAATTGGAAACATGTCAAGTATTTGTACAGCTTTTATTATATTAATACCTGAACCCTTATCTATAACCCTACAAAGGAATCTGGGACAAAATAAAAGAATATTGTCATAAATGAGGGACCGTTGACCATTTAGCATCAGATGGATAGAAGGGATGAATGAATGAATAAATCAGGGAACAATGAGATTTCCATAGCAGAGGAGGAGGAGGGCATGGCTGTCTGATATATAATACATGTAGCTAGTCATTTATTTATTACCACAGAATGAGAGCCTCCTCTTCTTGGATTAAATTGCAATTTGTTGTCAGGAAGCATGTAATGAATACATATCAGATGCACACCCGCTCTCTCTTTTTATTCTATCACATTTTCTCTACCTCTCTCTACCTCTCTCTGCCCTGCTCTTTGATTTTCTTGTGTCTTTTTGACTCTACCCCCCATGTCTCGTGCTCAATTCCTCCCTGTGTTTCTGATGGTCTGTCATGTTGATGTGACATATTCAGATGTGCTGTATAATGTAGCCCTTTATATGTACATGTGTATGCATATGAGTGTGTACACATTTTTTAAGGTGCGTATATATGCGATACATATCTTAGAGTGCTGTATGTGTCTGTCATTCTCTTAGTGCCATTTATTATTGCATGCCTCTGTCTCACACCACTGGCATGTGCTGTGGACAACTGTGTCCAAATGTATCCACTTGTTTGGCGTCTAAATACATCTTAATCTCTCTCTCACCTTACACCAGGCCTCTGAGGGGATGTCCTCATTTGCAGGCTGTAACGGAGTGGGCCCGGTGCGTTGGAGTGGGCAGGAGCGGACCAGGAAACATTCAGGCTGGAACTAGTTGCATGGGTCAAACTCGGAGGCGACAACCCATCTGGGGCTTTAAGAGAAAGAGAGACGGGATTGTGAAGGAAACAAAGAAGAACAGGTAATGAAGAAGGGACGGAGGAAAATGAAAGGGGGATGGAGAGATTGAATGAGAACCGCTGAAGTATACAACAAATCCCAAGGAATGTAGATTATAGAAGGTACCACTGTTACATTGACATACTTCTCATTGATCATCTGCGTCCTACCTGCTCTCCATCTATAAATCTCTCTGCTTTTATCGAAAATGGAAAGAAGCGATGCCAAACAAACAACCGCAAAATAAAATAAAAGTCACTCTAAACTAAAGGAAGCTTAAAGTGCCACGAAGAGCAGCCAGATTTAGGCGTACACAACCACTTCAACATGTCTCACTCTCTTTTCTACTCCCTCAGATATACACACACACTCACAAACACACACAGCTGTTTGACCCCGCTCTCTCAACAGTGCCCCTCTTTTCCAGCTGACACTGATAGCAAAGTGCTAGTGTTGGAAAATCCGTAAAAACATCCTGATTCAGTACGATATCCATGCTCTTATCAGAGACAGAGAAGATGTGAGAAAAGACAGAAAAAGAAAGAGATAAGGACAACAAATAGAAGGAGAAAATGAGAGTGGCTGTAGTGTTGACCGTGGGAAATAAGAGTAGGCCCTCCGATGTATAAAGTGACCCTTCAATCAAACACACACTTTCCTTCCACTACAACAAGACTGATTGCTGAAGACATCTTACTCTGAAGACACACGCATCAAGCATGTGGATTCAGCCTCACAATGCTCTTTGAACAAGTGTTCCATATGATATTAGTAGTGGTTCACCAACTTAAATCACATTGAGCATCTAAGTGTATACACAGAAACACACTTTTAAATAAAAACATGACACAAGCACCCTATTTTCCAACAAAGTGTGTTTGTGTGCATGTGTGTCTCTCAGTCAGTCTTTGTGCATTTTTGTTTTTGTTAAAAAGGCCCACATTCAACAGATGCATTTGTGTATATTTGTGTGTGAGTTGTTGGGTTTAAAGAGTTATTGACCCATCAATCTGTTCAGAGAATTATAGCTTTGGAAACAGAAACATAGAAACAAAAGTGGCGCAAGACTAGGCTTCATTTATTGCCTGCATTGTCCATTATTTTGGGGTTTATAAGTAAGTTCTGTCTTTGTTTACTCTCAGTTGTTCCACAGTGTAATATATGATATATAACATAGATTGACTGTACTCCTTTAAAGTGCCAGAGTCACTAAGCAACAAGTAGATCTAAAACAGTAGAAATATTTGAGCATTCATACTGATTGATGATTTTTTATTATTTATGAGTATAGGATCTGATTAATATATATAATTGTACAGCTCTAACAGGATTTCATACATCATTGTATCAATAAGATAGATGTATAGTTTAAAATAAATTATTAAAAGCCCATTTTCCAGTTTCTACCTTTTTATAATAAGACCCTTTCGTAGATCAATTCAATTCAATTCAAAACCTTTATTTATTCAGGTGAAAACCCATTGAGATCATTGACCTCTTTTTCAATGGTGACCTGCTGCAAGTAGGTTCCAACATGAATACAAACATGACAGAAAAACAAAGAGGACATCATATGGCATATTTACATTGACTACAGTTTGTATAGCTAGTAGCATTTACAGATACCAATAGTTTCCGATTGGATAGCATCTATCCTTGCTTTAAAAACATGTAATGGAACCAAGCTGCTCAGATCAGCTAAATTGTCATTCCCTGAGCGTGTGTGTAATTCTTGAAACACGCGTTGATTCCTTCCTCACTGACACACAGGCGCGCACACATACACACGCGCGAACAAAACACATACATCACAAAGACACACACAGTTGGTGAGCCTGTGTCTCTCTCATGCGGTGTTAGCAGGTACAATATCAGAGGTGTCACTAATCGTTTTAAACTATGCACTTTTATGTTCACTTCTCTCTCTCTCTCTGCTCTCCTCCTCCTCTGCTCTTCTGTCTCTTGCTCCACTATCTTCTCTCTGTTCTTTCATAGAACAAGGACGCATCAAGACAGTTTGCCTTAAAGAAGTCTAAAGAGATGCCAGAGGCACAGAGGTAGAAAGAGAGATTGAAAGAGAGGAAACGTCTGGTATTTAAAATTTATACTTTCTTATGCCTTTGTTTTGAACTTGAACAGTAGAACTTTCCGAAGTCTGTCTTTTGTTGACTGAGACATGAGTGTGTATTCAACACTGTTGATAACATAAGCTTAACTGATCAAATGTGTGTCTATAGGTGTGTGTGTGTGTTGCTGTCTGCTTACCATATCTCCAGAATGCTCTGATCAGCTTTGACATTTATCAGTATGCGAAATCAGCCTATATTCTACACAATTACAAACGCACACAGACACACACACACGATGTAATTCTAAAATATGTGTCCGGATCATTAACTAAAGTCACTGTGTCAATGTGTGTGGGAGTGTGTGATTGTGTTTGCCACCGCTACTCATTGAATACATTTGTCTTTTGCTGCATAGCAAAGATATAAAACTAATCTTTCCAGGTCGTAACAACAGCAATCAAATTTAGATTAATAAGATAAACATGTGACAATGGTTTATGGTTTGTCTGTAGAGTTAGAAACAAAGCTACAGTACAGCTATTTAAATCAGATCATACACAATTAGATGGATGACAAAAGGCCTTAAATTGGAGGCCATAATCTCACTATTAAACCATTTTCTAAGTATGATTCTGACCAAAAGTCTGCGTACAGAGATCCAGTATGTAAGGTGTAGTCAGGTGCTGTTCACCTTTAATGTAGTGGTTGAGTGTTGGCATTTCTACCTGCTGGGGTTGTAGTAACATTGAGTGGCAGGCTCTCAACACAACCCTGTGTGTTACAACCTCGGATCCAGAAGCTGTAGTTAGTGTACGGCTGTAGATCAGTCACAGACAACCAGCTGCCAGCCACTGTGCTCCCATCCACCACACCATCACCATCTAAGAGAAACCCAGTCACAAAAAGAAAGACATGTAAGGTCTTAGTCCAAACACAGTATTTGTATCTATTGAGTCGTTAATCTCTGGCACATTTAAATGTTTTCATGGCACATTTATTGATTACAGTCATTACCAGTAAAAAGGGTGATTCATAAATGATACATTCAACAACACAGGAAAAAGGGAGGAGAATGTGTGAGAGTTCAAGAGAGGGGAATACTGACTGAGATTAACTGAGAGTGATCAAAAGAGAGGGGTCTCCATATTGAGGTTATGCAAGGATAGCCAAAGCAGAAAGATCTGAAAATTACAATACGTAAGCCTATCCAATATATTTAGATGGACACACACACACACACTTGCATATCAGTTTTGTGTGAACTGATGAAGGCAGTGTGTATCAGAAAATCAAGGGGTTGTGGGTAACTAGAGCGAAACACCATCTTTTTTCTTCCACACCTCTTCTATCCTTCTCTCCACTCATTTCAATCTGACTCTTCCTCTGTGAGGAGCAGATCAAAGTCCCTGAATGTGTGTGTGTGTGTGTGTGTGTGTGTGTGTGTGTGTGTGTGTGTGTGTGTGTGTGTGTGTGTGTGTGTGTGTGTGTGTGTGTGTGTGTGTGTGTGTGTGTGTCTGAGAGGAGAGAGAGACCTGGTGAATATGTGTGAGTTAATGGATGATTGTGTGTTCTGCTGTTTTCCCCATACTCCTGTTCTCATATTGTTCAATTTTCTTCTCCCCCCTTTCTTTCCATGTCTCATTTTTTTTGTTTTGTTAGTCTCGTCCGCTGATTTGTTGTTCTTCAGGTATTGTTTTTATTGCAAGTCTTTTTTAATACATCTATGGAAGCTTCTCATCTCTCCTCTCTCTGTATACCAATATGATCTTCCTTCCATCTTCATACCACTGCTTTGCTCTTGGATCTTATATCAACTCTACCCTCAAGTCACTGTCAATAAGAAGTAAACATGTCTTTTCTACAGCACTCTGGTTTTATTACTCTTTCCTTCACTTTCCCATTTCATGTCTGACTTTCACTCTAAGTCGGCATTGTTGGTGAGGAGTGTTTATGGAAGTGCAGAGACGCTGGATGGAGCACCATCTTCCCACTGGAGGTTAGATCCTGAGGCTGAAAGACAAACAGCTGAGGAGGGATGCAAGGGTGCTAGGGGGAAAGATGAAGGAGACAAAGGAAATGGCAGAGGAGGCGGAGAGAGCAGCTTTTGAGTAATTTTGGAGGTTGCAGGTATATCGATATTCCACCACCAGGAGATGTTTGAAACATGGAGGAATGGCGGTTCCTGAAGACCCTGCAGCTGACCACGTGGGCAAAGGAGAAGGGGCAACAAGCAGTCATGCCCAACAGGTTATACAACTACCAGAACACTTTGAGGATTTTAACCACAGTGAATGCAGCAATTTCCTTCAAATAATACGATTAAAGTTGTAATTCTTTAGAGGAAAGCTCAACAGCAATGTGTATAATGTATGGCTAGAATTTAAGTGCAGCCACACAGAAAATGCAGTGGGTTTAATGAACAATTGAGGCTTTCCTAAAAAAGGCATAATCTACATTTGTGTTGTAAATAGCAAATGTGTGATAAATGCAGTCACATTTGAAAATGCAGAATATTACTCTGAATATCTGTCGCCTGGTAAATATGTACTGTATGTGATTTAGAGAATGAGAGCATGGCTGTATACGTTACCTTTGCTTTTGTAGAACAGTTTGTAGCTGAGGTTCCCATTCGGTCTAGGTGGGGCTGTCCAGCGGGCTCGGAGTGATCGAGAGCTCTGATTGGTCAGTTCAAGCAGTATGGGGCCTTCTGGGGCTGTCTGTAATGTACGTATCTCCACCTGATTTAAAGGGAATAAAGATATAAACGTAGTTCCATAAGCACAAAAGCAGACTTGTAGCAAGTGCATCTACAGTATGAACTATACACAGTATTTAACCTCATCATAACTTCTATATGGAATCTGTCCCTATTCGATATGGGTCATCACATCACATCTGGCCCACATTACTACTGTTTGTAGTATTTTAAGCACTTTTTGTAATCCTCCTTTCTTCTTTTTCTCGTGCCACAATCATATTATCTTTTCTCTCAATCCACACTGCTCCTCTTTTTTTTCAACGGTCTCAACAATCGATTCTTCAGACTCATTTCTTCTTGTTATCCCCTCCTCTGCTGCTCTCTGTATCGTCTCCTTTCACCTCATCTTCTTACTTTGCACTGACCATTTTCTCCTCATCGTTTCACTTTGTTATCCCTAAACTCCCTCCTTCCCTTGACTTCTTTCCTCTCCTTTTCTCCCTTTATCCTGCTCTTACCCCTCCCCTTCCCATCCTCCTGTCCCCCTGTTCTATGGTGTCAGCTGTTCTACTAATGTTTGACTAAATATGGCGTCCGTATTGGAAAAATGCCCCAAAATATGGCCTGTCGTCAGAGACATCGTTGAGCCTGGAGTGGCATTTGCTACCAAATGTCACCGCCGCCACGCCAACCTCGTTATTGAGCCGGGAGAATCGATCACCTTTATGACGCTCAGTGACACACACGCGCACACACACAGACACACAGACACACAACACACAGACACTTTGGTAAATGCCTGAGTCGGCATTCCCATATGTCTGCCCATGTTTGTGTGTGTTGGCTAGTTACAGGGATAATATGCATCATAAAAATATCAGTTTTGGCTGGGTTTTTTCACCAGTAGTTATTATATGATTCAGCCAATAGAGGATTTAATGGAGCTTTAACTGTTGCTGCTCCAAATGCTGTGAAAGCTGCTGGGTTTCAAGGAAAATGTGAAATCGAGAAGTACAGTTTTACGTGTGTTTTAAATAGCAACAACTACAGTTCAAATACTATGCAGCAAGACACTGAAAAGTGAGCTCCAAAATTAAGAATAAAATAAGAGCTTTTTCACAAATGTTAAGGATTGTTACCAACACTTCCGGATTACTCAAAGGTTATTATGCAGAAAAGCCACAGCAATGGCTTTTAAAGCATACCTATCTTCAAATCTATCACAAAGTATCTAACAGTTTATCAAATGAATGAATAAGTGTTTACTTTAAAGAAGTTTACTGACCATCGGCCCCTTGCCACAGCCCCGCGCTGTGCAGGCCTGCAGCCGGAGGACGTGTCGGCTCCACGGAGAGAGGCCCTCCACCACCAAGAACCTCTGGGAGGAACTGGAGTTCAGAATGAGCCGTCCATCCCGCCAGAGACCATAACTGGTTATAATGCCTGTCAAAAGAAGATGTCTGATTATAAAAATAAAATATATGGAATCAAACATAAAATGACAAACCTTTCTCCCGTCCCGACTCCCACTAGAGCGTTACTGGGTGACTGCCAATAGGTTTTAGGGTTTATTGTCTCAAAATAAGTTAACTCTACATGAGCATCTCTCTCTTCACATTGTAAAAATAACCATTATGTTGCATTCATTTCCTGCCCTGAAACACATCAGTAAACACCATAACCCGGATTAAAACGACCAATAAAACAAAACATTTGTTAATATTTGAAGAAAATGTCCCAATTTTTTTAATCTATTTTTAATAAATACTTGACAAGACAACCTTTTGTCTCTATGTCTTAAAGTTTGGTACACAATTTGTTATTAGAATGTATTTGTTTTTATTCACGCACTGTTGCCATTGGTCACTCGTACATTTTGGGACTGTGTCCAGGATATGCGAAATGAGCTTTTCTATGTTGGGATGCAGTCTGGGTCATTGGATTACAATGCAAATTGAAACTGACTTAGGGGCTCCAGACCTGCCAGTCAATGTGTCCTAGAGTGATCCAATGATGGAAACAGCAATGAAACGACAAATGTAACCATAGGCGTTACGAGGATAAAGACCCTCTAAAGGACAGTAGAACTGGAGCGAACACGCACACTGAAATGTGGGTGCAAATAGGTGAGCCCTCCCTACAGGCACACAATGATACACACACACACACACTAAGATGGAAACTCACACATACATACACGGGCACAATAATTACATTACATTACATCCACCTAATGAAAAAAATGAAACAGCACGGTGCCAAATGTGCTTTTCCTTAATAAAAATGCATACAGGGGGCTCAAAAGATCAGTGCTAAGAACTAAGAGTCTATTCTGCTTTAATCATGTGTGGGTTTTATTATTGCTCAATACAGATATACACACCTATCAGGGAAATGAAGACACAAAAACCCCACGAACGCCAACTACCGGTACATCTGGGGAGCTCTTAATGTGGCCAATCACCTGCGTGTGAGAGTGTGTGCGTGTATATGTGTGCGGACGTGCCTGTGTGCTTGTGTGTGTGAATAAGCCCATATCAGTATAGGTTGTAATAAAGACAGGTTGGGAAATGAAGCAGCGAATGCATAACAGGCTTATTTCCCCTCTTTGTCTGCGTGTTGCCCCGACCTAATCCCCGAGAGGATTATCCCCCACAAATCCCTGCGGAATTGGGGAGAAGGGGGGAGAGAGAGACAGAATCTCACTCTTCTGGAACCCATCACCATCATCATCGTCATTGTTGCTGCGCATTTGTGAAAAAATGAGTAAATGAATGAAAAAAAGCGGCGCTGAGCCCTCCTTTAAGCAAAAATTAAAGCTTTTTAAGCATGAGATAATCGGGTAATCATGATTAAGTGTCTCCTTGTTGTAAATTTCTGTCATCAGATGAGAAAAGCTTTAAGTAATTTATCCAGGCTAATATGCACACACATCACATGGTTTATGGTGCGAAATGCACTTATGTGGCATTAAGCGTAAAACACACACGATTCACATTACACACACATGCATCATAGAATTACGTATACTTTAACGAGCATGGCAGTAATATTTGATAATATGTGGCGGTGCGTTGTACAGTATGTTAGAGACTGTGAAATGGTGTTTGATATCCTCAGTTGGTTCACATCACTCAATTAGGGTCACACGTTCTGCATGTGTTAATATAGTCCTTTTTAATTCATATTTGTATTATTTGTAAATTATTTTTAGGTGAATTGAACTGAAGTACTTCTAATTCATTTTGGTAATATGTACTGCCATGTATATACTTTATCTGTGACTTTTAATGTGTTTCAAGGCCTTTTTAAAGTTATTTTTGGAAATGTTGGACCTTCATTAGCGACAGTAGATTGATGACAGGAAAAGAGGCCGAGAGAAATGCAACATCGGCCCCAGCCTGAATCCAACTGGGAACTTTGCAGGTCAACCACTGCTGAGTCCAGATTTAACCAGTAAGGTATAAGGGGTCCCCATGTTTTATTGCCTTTCGAAAGTGATTTTAAATTGTGATTTTTAGTGCTTTGCTTTCATTTTCTCCTCACATTTCCTCATTAATGTTTACAGGAAAGATAAACAATTGCATACTAGACTATTAAAAGCTACATTTGTTTACCATATGTTTTCCAAAATACATAAAACGTATAGATTGTTTTAACAATGTAAGCACATGAGACATGGCACACTGAAGTATTACATGTTTGCTAGTTAAGACTATTTTAAATATTTTTTAATTTTGAAATTGAGCACTTTTTTAATGAAACACATTACGAGATTTAAGTGAATATGAAGAAAATCATTAATTCTAATAATCAATATGTATTGTAACTTTGAGTCCCTTTAGACTCAAACATTTGCTCACAGAAAATATTTACTTTTTTTTATCTAGATGTTCAAAAGCATTCGTCAGATTTCAAATTCACGTCCAATGTACAGTACATCAAGTACATCCTGACAAAGTCTGTGCAATGAATTAAAACTGGATGCAAGTGCATTAGATGGAGGTCAGAAGAATAGAAAACACTGATGGAGGAAGGCAGTCACCGTGAGTCCATGTGCTTCCAGCCTGCAGTTCTCTATTCAGTCAAAAGGGAGCACTTTCCATCCACTTAAAGGAGCTCGGTGAAGCACTGGCCTCTCACTCCCGCTCTCCGTTAGTCTCAGCCTCAAATGTGTGTGTTCTCTCCCTGTCTCTGTTTCTGTCCCTGTTCTCTCTCTCTTTATGGTTTATCTATCAGTTTGTTTTTGTTGTCTTACTGTTTTATCTCAATCTTGAACACCCATGTGATTCCCCCTCACTCAAAGCAAAACGTTCCCCTGTTTCTATGTCACACGTACGGTATAACTGGCAATGGTAGAGGTCTCTTTATCTTATCATTTCTGGGGTCTTGTAAATACTGACACGGTGTATTTAGATTAACAGCTGAGCTTTAAGTTTCCTAATCATGAGTCAGTTACATGTTTCTCCTTTATTGCATGTTTTATCTCTCAGCTGTTTAAGATCACTTGTCTGTATCTAGATTCAATTTATAATAAAAACATGTTCATATGTATATGATTTTGGATGTATTTAGTAAAGAAAATTAATTGTTCTGAATGTTAATGCTGATAAATGTTTATTTATATATATTTGTTTTAAATTCTCTCTGTTTGTGCTTGATCTAGTGGGTTTCCTCTCACCATTTGGTGTTTCAGGGGGTGTCCAGCTGACGTTGAGTGCATGTGGGGACAGAGGTGTGACCAGCGGAGCAGGAACGTTCTCTGGGGTGCTCTCCTCAGTCTGAGCCTGGCTGGGGGGGCTTAACGTACATCCACCTCCTGTGCAGGCCTGACATACACACACACACACACACAAATGCTTTAATATATGAATTTCACCTTTCAAATGAAACAGATGAAAAAGTAAGGGGCTCACAGAGAGTGTGATGGTGTAAGCTGTTCCAGGGGTAAGGTCGCGCAGGGTGTGGTCTTCAAAAAGTTCTGAGCTGTTGTAGACGAGCACAGGCTCTGAACCGTCAGGTGACAGGAAGACGGAATAAAACTCCAGAGCGCCGTTTACCTGAGAGGGACGGGACCACCTGGAGAGGGAGAGAGGAATCAAAAGAGATGATATATTTATTGTTGTTCAGCATTAGGTTCACATTGCAGGAAACACTTTAATATCCCAATTTCTTCTAACTAAGTCATTTGACTTTTTAACCTTAAAGCCAAAGTGTCAGGTTCATTTACAAACAAGGCTGGAACAATTTCATCTTCTCAACAACAACATTCCTCCAAAGAGACCATAACTGTAAAAGTATCCTACTGTATTAGAACGTTTAACAAACTATATGTTTTATTTCTAGAAAAACAAACTATATGTTTTATCTCTAGAAAATATTATAAACACATTGAACATTTTGGTTGGCATTATTCTGCACTCTGATACACAGGGCCAGTTTACTATATTTAATTAGCAATATTACAATGACTTTTATAAACATTCCCACATGTAGTTATATAGGAATACATAATTCCTCCTTTTTGAACCATGTGATTCAGAGCTTTAATATTTAATATTTCTTTAACATTGTGTTAAAGCTTAATTAAAATAAAGATGTTAGATAGAGCAAATGTGTCAGAAAAATCATTGGACCTCGTTGATAGTCCTTTTATTCTAGTCTGCAGATTGTGGTTTGTGTATCTGTGTGTGCACACGTGTGGTTTCAACATTGAGTTTCTTACTGTAAATGAATGGAAATACAAAGAACTAAGGTTTCCTATACTGTGCAGTTTCCTCCGTCAGATAGAGGTGTCTCCTTTTCTATATTTAGAACAGGAAGGTCATCCCCAACAGAGAGGGAGAGGACAAGAGACAGCATTTAAAAATAGAAACTATCCATTACAAATGATGGGAGAGAGGGCAGTATCCACCACAGAACTAAACTAAAGGCATATTCGGATTGTGAGAGCCGAATATGCCTTGATGATTTACATATAACCGCTGTCATTATAAATGGGATGATGCTGATATTAAAGATATCTTTCAACTATGATAAAATAATAAAAAGAGGTAAATGATAAGGTCTTTAAAAGATCAGCGGTTGTGTCTTTCTCTTCAACCTAACTTTTTAAACTACAGAGCTGCTGTAGTACTGTTTTTAAACACATACAATTTGTAAATCCCTAGATTTACATAATCTTAGTGTTTAGTAGATAATACAATTTAAAGTGTTTTCTCAAGTTTTACAAAATCTAAGTGTCCGATCATTTTCTTAAGAGTTTTCAAAATGACACAAGTAAATAGTTCTTCAATTAAAGAGAACTAACATATTTTGAAATAAATAATTATGCAACTCTTACAAATTCCTGAGAGTAACCCAAACCTCCTGGTAGGTAGCAGAGGGAGGCCATTTGAAAAAGTGATGGATTCCTTTCTTGGTTGCTCCCATTAAAAGCCAGTTTTTGAATGACTGATGAGTGTGTGTTAGCACACAATTAGCCACTGTGGCTAATCTATCACATTTAAAATAAGATTGATATGCTGTCGATTTGCAGTGTGATGTATGTCCACGTTTGAAAAACGAAATCAAAGGGGAGTTGTAATAATCTGTATCATAATTCATTGCGTTAATGGTTTTTATACAATTATTGGTTTGAAAGTGTATTGTGAAATTACTGTGAAACAGACGGGTCCTTTCTCAGCACCTTAAATTGAAAACCATGTTCTTGAGAAGCAATAGGTTCAAAATCTCCATCACTATCTTTAAAGTCAAAACCTGCCTCCTCATCTTCCCTCCTCCCATCTGTCCGGCTGCTCTCTACATTGCACATTCCACAAAAAAACATTGGAGCCACCAAATAATTATTAAAACTAAAGTATTGAAGACTGGAAGAAAAAAACTGGAAAAAAAACAAAACACTAAGCTAGAATTAAGAGGATTAGTTAGAATTGTTGTACCTCTGACTTAAAACATGGCCTGTGTCCCATCAGGTGTTCTATGTATCTGTGACTGTACATGTCTGACAGTGGGGGGTATTTGCAGCTGTTTCTGCTTGTGTGTGTATGGGTGTGTTTGTGTCAGGTGAGGTCAGGGAATTATTCTGCTGATATTGTTTTGTTCGCATCCTGCTGCCTACCTCAACCTTTCTCACAGTCTCTCACCTCCCCCTGTGTGTGTGTGTGTACACTCTATATCTCACTTTCCTTTTGAAAATGTATCACATTTCCCTCCGACTCATAATAAAAAACTCACAATTTATCTGCCTCTCTTCTTTACCTATTCCATTTCTCTCTCATCAGATTTGTTGTTCTCTCTTTATCTCTGTCTTTATCAGCTTTTTCTCACAGGCACAATGAGAGATATTGACGAGGTATGATCTCTGATCCTCGGCCTATTGCCAAATGTGCTAACAAGGCAATACTGGGCCTTCCCACACCTGGTGAATATATAGCTTGAACACAATTCAAAGGCTTAGGCTATGATACCATGATGTTCTGCAGTAAGCAGTGTATCACACCCGCTCTTTTATTTAAGGTCTCATGTGTTTATAGACTAGAGGTTTAATGAAATGATAATGACAAGGGTTTAATTTGTACAGCAGGCCTCATTCATGTAACATTCATATGTAGTTTTTAATAGCTACACATTCAAAAATGATGATCTTTGTAGAAACATTTTCTTTCTAATTTACAAAATGCTGGATAGGAAAGTTTGATCAGTGGTAAAATGCTTAAAATGTGTTGTTTCTCTATTGAAAGCATTATTTAAGCTTTACTGGCATATTACACTGAAAGATGTGCGTATGAGTGGCTCTGTGCCCTCCTGCGGTGAGTCCCACAGTAAGTGACAGTCAGGACACTAATGGCTTTCGCGCAGATTGACTCCCACAGTTCATACGCACACACACACACAAAACAGGAACATTTGCACATGAACATGATGGAAAAAGTGCAGAGATCTATCTTCCTCTGTCCCCTCCCTCTAGAGGTGAAAGGTCAAGTGCAGAAGAATATTCTGCATGGTAAACACAACTGCAGAAGGTCACTGGGTCCGTCTCTCTCTCTCTCTCTCTCTCTCTCTCTCTCTCTCTCTCTCTCTCTCTCTTTGTTTTACACAGAAAAAACATGTGAATTACTAATGAAAAGCTAAAATATTCCTTTACATCATTCCCACAGTTTTTCAGTGATGCTGACAAACTGACTTTTACCCTTCCATTTGTGAGTAAATGCCTGGCTTTTTTTTTTTTGTACATATACAGTAAATTAAACATCTGTTGTGGCATGCATCTTTATAAGCCCTGCGATATACTGTGTGTGTGTGTGTGTGTGTGTGTGTGTGAGTTCTTACTCCACCAGAATTGTCCGTGAGTCAAGCAGGGTGAGCGTTGGTGCATGTAGCGGCCCTGGAGGAAGCTGAGAGGTCAGCATTGTA